AAAACGATTCGTCGGTTAGTGAGAAACAGTATTTGCTAAGAAAGGTCCACTTGTTGGGTAGCTATATAATCGACTTTTTCGGGTGAGAAGATAGAGCTTGGAATTCTTTACAAACAGATGTGGTTGTCAAAGAGAGACGATTAAGCAGTGAAAGAGCAGTTCGCCTCCAATACCGGAGAAAAAGGATTGTTCGATGAGTGGGAAACAGTATTTGCTAAAAAAGGTCCATTTGTTGGGTACCTTTATAATCGATTTTTTCGGCTGATAAGATAGAGAGTGAAAGTCTGTATAAACTAATATGGTGGTGGAAGAGAGACGGTTAAGCAGTAAAACAGCAGGACGCCTCGAATACCGGAGAAAAAGGATTGTTCGGTGAGTGGGAAAGAGTATTTGCTAAAAAATGGTCCAACTGTTGGGTACCTATATAATCGATTTTTTCGGTTGAAGAGATAGAGGTTGCAATTCTCTACAAACATATGTAGTTGCTGGAGAGAGACCGTTTAGCAGTGAAAGCGGAGATCGCCTCGAATATCGGAGAAAAAGGATTGTTCGGTGAGTGGGAAACAGTATTTGCTAAGAATGGTTCATTTGTTGGGTACCTATATAATCGATTTTTTCGGCTGATAAGATAGAGCTTGAATTTCTGTATAAACTAATATGGTGCCCGAAGAGAGACGGTTAAGCAGTAAAACAGGAGGACCCCTCGAATATCGGAGAAAAAGGATTGTTCGGTGAGTGGGAAACAGTATTTGCTAAAATAGGTCCATTTGTTGGGTACCTGTATGATCGATTTTTTCGGTTGAGAAGGTAGAGCTTGAAATTCTCTATAAACCTATGTAGTTACCGAAGAGAGACGGATAACTAGGGAGAGAGCAGGATTCTTCGAATACCGAAGAGAAAGGATTGGTCGGTGACTGGGAAACAGTATGTGCTAAGAAAGGTGCATTTCTTGGGTACCTATATAATCGATTATTGCGGTTCGGAAGATAGAGCTTGAAATTCTCCACAAACCTATGTTGTTGCCGAAGAGAGATGGATAAGCAGTGAGGGAGCAGGACGCCTCCTATAGCGCAGTAAAACGATTGGTCGCTGGCCGGGAAACCGTATCTGCTAAGAAAGGTCCGTTTTGGGACCAGATATGTAATCGATTTTCTCTGCCGAGAAGGGGTGTGGGTGTGTGTGGGGTGTGGGTGTGGGTATGGGTGTTGGTGTGTGTGGGTCTGGGTATGTGTGTCAGGTATCGGTGTTCTGTGAGAAGAAGACTGACACCCGTACCTACACATCCACACGCACACGCACACCCACAGTGACACCCCACCGACACCCTCCACACCCACAGCCACACCCAGACCCACAGCCACGGCCACGCACACCCACACCCACGCTCACGCCGACACCCACACCCCACACGTACACCGACCCTCGTTTTATTGAAAATTTTGAGTGATCATGAAAAATCAACGGCGAGATAATTCTTCGTCAGTTGATTCTACAGTCTTCATGATTAATATCGAATTCAGTCCAGCCAACGTTGAACTATTTGAAAGGTGTTTAACTAAGAAAAAATGTTTAGAATAGAAATAAAACGCATTTATACAGTAGAGAATGATCTTGTGAATAAAGTAACGACAATATCTTGAAGATTTATATTAGTTAATGAAAAATAAAATTGGCCTTTTAACCTTCAGTTTATTATAAAAAAATATTAAAAATGATCTTGACAAGAACATTGTCCACTTGAATAGAAATGGTGAATACGATTAGCATCACGAACAATAATATCACGTTGTCGAATTTTTGCGATCAACTTTGTAGCTGCATCTAAGCAGCATAATCATCAAGTAATTATTTAAGATAGCGAAAACAAATATGATTAACTTACGACAATCACCACAGACACGAAGATTTTTAGTAATTTGAATAATCGATGGAATAGGTCGTTGAATGAAATTAAATGCAATTGCTAATTTCTCACTATGTCCGCATAAAACTGATTCAATACTTTCATCTTCTTGAATTGAACGAGTTATCCAACTTGAATCAAATCTATGACCATATTGAATTAATTCAGAAGATAATCGATCTAGTTCAGCATAGATTTCTGATGACCTTGGATGAGAACGATCATGAGCTTTAAATTGCTAAAAAAATAACCATTTTTGCTTTTTTATTTCTACATTCTTACAAAAAAAATTCTTTATAAGAGCATCAAGAATGATAACAATTTAGGAGACATTCAACGAAAAAATGTGTTTTCCTATTTTTTAGGCATTCGAATTGTTCACATGCAACATAATGAACTTGAATATTTTAACGGGTTATGTTACTCATTCAAAACATTAGTCAATACTTTTAATTTTTATTACTATCGTATCTTGATGAGAAAAACAGTAAAATTTAGTCTGTATAAAAAATAAATAAATGTTTGTATTTCGAAGGATAATTCAAATTATATCAAGAATGGATCATTCGCCAGTCAAAAACGAGATTTTATTTTATCCCGAATAGAACGGCATGGACAAGTTCCCTTGAAAAAATTTTTAACGTCTGTTTATTCATAAGAACGACGATACATACAAAATTTCAAAAAAAAAAAGTTTTTTCATATAATCGAACAGCAGGATCTGAGGTTCTTATCATAACTACATGATTGGAGTGCATTTCTAATTTTTAATTAAGTCTCCCCCTGATATGTTAGCGGCCATATGAAGAAAAGGAGGAATCAGGAGGATTTATGACCCGAGTCTTTGGAAGGATTACTCTGAAAAAAGGAGGGAAAAAGGAGGATTTCTTTCTTACTAAGAAAGGACGCTGCAGTGTTCCAAACATGCAAGTGCGTGAGGAATAGAGTTGCATATTGACTGTTGCAATCCATCAGATTCAGAATACTTTGATCCAGATCCGTTTTATGAAATATTTCCAGACCTTAATCCTCCATAAACTCTACGTGAATTTCACCACATATAGTTCAGAAACTAATTTGATGAGCTTTAATGTATGCAAACAATTGATTGTCATCCTCAACAACCAAAGCAGGAAAAAAATCAACTTTCAAAGATAATTACAAACAATAAAATTTTGAAAAAATTTTGTATGAATCGAAATTCTCTTTCTAATCTCTATCCAAGCGAGTTTGCTACCAGTCCAACAGGATTCATTCACAATTCTCTTTAACATGAAAGATGTCCTACATCTTAAGAAAGGCCATTGCAATGATACATGTGCTTCTCAACGAAAACAACAAAGTTCTGAAGAGAAAGCGATTGAACGAATTTTAAATTAATAAAATATTGCAGATTGACAGATATTTGTCTTTGAGTCAAGGACGAATGAACATATTCAGTGGAAGAATAAAGAAAGAAAGATGATGTTCAAAATCTTTATTCAACTCTTATTTAAGAAGTTAATTCACAAAACCGATCAATAAAAAGTACTAAGTTAGTTGACCGAGATACTCATTAGGATTCAACAATTCTTAAGTAGTACGTAACAGTAAGCTTATCACACAATTTATTCAAAATCGTCATAGTAACTGCATAAAATATCAAAAATAAAACAGTTTTTTGAAAGCATCAACAAGCCTTTGTATCTTCGTCAGAACTTACAGTAATACCCGATACTGCCGAATTATTTACAGAGAAAAATCAGTTGTGAAGATGAAATGAAACATCAGCACATACTTTCTTTACTCACTATCGACGTCTCTTTATCAATTCATGATGAACTATACTGCGACATTAGAAAACGTGCTTTTATAGAATTTCTGTCTCTTCTCAGGATGACTTCTTCGCAAGATAATCAAGACAAAATTAGAAACAAAAGTGTATTCAACTACGGCAAAAAGGTTATTCACAAGAATTAAAATACTCTGACGCTAAGTTGTCGTCAGCGATGTAAATTTTAGTGTTAAACTGGAACTTTTCTTGTACCCAGCTACAATAATGGAGTTCTCAGCAAAAACTCGTTGTTAACAAGAGGGAGTACGAAGACTGAATTTCAGTAAGCAATCTGGTTTTTCAGTCATATCGGAACAACTGTTCAATTAGATAAAACCGAAATGACAGGTACCTAAAATTAATGGTATCGAAAAAACCTTGCATTCAGTGGAATTCCAGCGACCAAAGGCTTCGGGATAACTGACACCTCTAAAACATAGTACGGAGTGCCAAAAAAAATCGAACTCTCAAGATTATAATATGAATAAAAGTTTATTTATAATTACAAGAGACCTAAATTATTATCAATAGTAGCAGTAGTAAAATTACAATATACACAGTATTTAAAAAAATAATGTTACATAATCCTACAATTCAAAAAGTTAAACTAAACAATAATTGTTCTTTTCCATCTATGTCAAACTACTTCGCATGGCCGTGATCTTCTTTGCACTCAAAAATTAAATAACTTCCCTAAACTTTATCTTGTTGAGTAATATGTATAAATATACAGTTTTTAACAAACTTTCTCCTAATGCTAAAAGATTTTCAAGAGGAAATTGCTCTGGTACATTTTGAGAGCAAAAATTTACAACAAAAACGATTATTTTTATTAATTTTTGAATTCAAAAAAACATATTAGAAAGTTTTAGATACAATTTAAATTTGAGAATATTCCCAGGTCGAAAAGTACCGGCCGGTTCCCGCAGGAAAACACCGGAAATAGCCGGAACATGGAAGCAGTATTCCGGCCGGAAATTTTCGGAATTTTTTCCGCTGATTTTCCTCTCGGTTCCTGCCGGAAAACACAGGAAATTGGCCGGAATTCACCGGAAAAAATCCGGAGAATTTCCGGCCGGACTACTGCTTCCATGTTCCGGCTATTTCCGGTGTTTTCCTGCAGGATACGGTGATTTTTCCCGCATTTTCCTGCCGGTTCCTGCAATATCCGGTGGCCGGAACGATCGACCTGGGTTGTTCCATCGTGGTGCATTTATATTATAGTGTTAATAAGATTCTCTAAAACTCATCAAAATTTTCGAATATTTATGAATTTGTACTTTAGATGAATTCAAAGATCTCTTCATATCTTTTGATAGAGTTTCCAGAATGAGCTAAAAATTTGGGTTTCAGCGTATCTTTTCACGAACTTTCAAATGGTATAACCTATTTCAAAATCGAAAATTCTTATATGCACACTTGGTCAGTAGTCTGATGGAGCTTTTCCTAAAATTAGATTTTCAAATATATGATAAAGAAATGATTCGATATAGGTAGAAAAGAACAACTATTATTTAGCATAACTTTTTGAATTGTAGGATTGTGTAAAATTTTTTTTAAAAATATTGTATATATTGCACATTTACTACTGTCACTCTTGGTATATAATTTAGGTTCTTTGTAGTTATAAATAAATTTTTATTCACATTATAATCTTGAGGAGTCAGTTTTTTGCATTATGTCCTCTTGAATATAATTTAATTCGGAGCTTTTGTGAAAATTGGAGAAGATTCATCCGAATCTCATCGAATCGGATAGGAATCTACGGAAATATTTCAGTCCAGGATCATTACGAAGACCACCATATTACACAACCTACGAAGAGTGTTACAAAAGTACTATCATTAGTGGCTTTCGTAACGAAAATATCAAAAAAGGAGGAATGGATCAACAAATGGAGGAGGGGGAGGAGCCTTTTTCAAAAAAAGGAGGAAAAGGAGGAGCACTCACATACCAAGTCTCCCCTCAAAAAAGTCACTTTTCGTCAGAATCATTGAAATTGACAAATATATATGGAGCGATAGCCTGTCATTTGCTCTTTCATAAAAAATAAAAACTTTTTATTTTTTTCGAAAAGTTTTCAACATTGTTTTTGACGATCTCTATTCGAAAAACCTAAAACTCTTTTTTTTTCTCAGAATTATGCTCGAACGACGCATCTCTAGTGAAAGTCAACTATAATCTGATACCAAGTGAAATATTTTTTTTTTGTTCGAAAGAGCATCAAAAACTGCAGTGCCTATGAGAGCCTTTTTTTGATAAAGCTTTGTTGTTATTTTATTGATAAGCAGCTTTATAATATGAGCGCCATTTTTTTAAAGAGATTTTCAGTGTTTGAACTTGTCAGACCTTTCCTCCAAGAAAATAAGAATAAGAACGGATTTCGTATAGACACTGCATCCTCACATACACTTTCAAACAAAAAAAAACAGTAAGAATTTTTGGAGACATAATAAGCTATTTTTCGATGCTGGTTGGGTTCGCATCTCCCTTATGCATCAGGATAGAAGGCTGAAAATTTTACCACAGACATCCCTTCATATCCTCAAAGTTTCATAACATTTGGATGTTTCTGAGCTAAGATCGATTTTTGAGGGATGGCGGGTAGCTTTATTAGATATGTAGTTGAACTCTCACAGTGATATATTTCTCACTATTTAAGATGAAGTCTTGATTTTTTCAAAAATAACAATATCAATCAGAAAATGATATGTAACAATGATCTGAACTATGCTCTTTATCGGTTTTCGTTAGATTACAAGCAATGTTAGTAAAAAATTAACTTTCTAATACTTATCTAACATTTTATATGCCTAAATTCAGAAACGTACAGACTATGGTTAAAACTGTTCTTCATCAAAAGCATTCTAAATATCTTTAAAACACCTTGACTGGATGAAAATGATTTGGCTTAATTAGGTTCAGTCAAATCATGATGTTTTGGGATACTACAACTCTTCTGATGAAGAAAAACTTTAATCATAGTCTGTACATTTCTGAATTTAGGCACATTGAAATTAGAGACACGCTCTTCATTATGAGAAAAAGTATAGGAATTTTTCGAAATGATTTGAAAAAAATGAATTGCTCATCTGTGATACAGAACATAGAAAAACTCAGAGAAATTTTCTCTTGATATGAACAAATGACAGTAGATATACTACTAACAATCAATCGTCATAAACCAAAAAAAAAATATGTCACTTTTGCATCCTTGTTCTACTACATAACCTCAATATATAGACGATAAACAATATTTTAAATATTGAATTTTTTTCAGTTGCAGATAATCTACTTTTTTGGTATTATATTCTATAAAAAATTTGAATAATAGATTAGAAGACAAACAGTCATTATTTCTATTTGGTAAATTTTACTTTTTTCTTCTTATAAAAATATAATATGGCTAAACGTCGATGTTGACTAATTTCTCAGAGAGATTATTAAAAGCTAGCTAGTATTTTCAGGTTTATTGGTCCAGATATTGATAGTTCGAATGCATGTAAAATACATTGAAAAAGATTTTTTTTTTGTTGAATGCTTTCTATACTCGATAGTTTCATGAATTATATCTTAATGTTGTTTAGAAAAAAAACTATTTTTTTACCACTAATTCACCATTTACTTCAGTCCATGATAATCCTACTTTGACCTTGTGCTTTAATTTGTTTATATGCCTATATCGAATATCTCTTCCTAGTTCAAATTCACCACGAGATGAATAAACATTTGAAAGAAGAATTGCACCAGATATTAGACATTCTTTTTCATCGGGAAATAAAGATTTTATTCGATTATATATTTTTTCAGACAGTTGAATATTACCATGGTTACGTGCACCAGATAGCAAGGCCACTAAAAGAAAAAAACTAAATTATTAATCAATCATTCATTATATAATAGATACTTACTATACATAACAATATTTGGTTGATTTGATTTTTCAAAATCATCGATTAATCTTTCTGCTTCATCAAATAAAAACAAACGACTTAGACAATCAATCTAAATTATAAGAGAATTTAATTATATTTTATATTATTAATTATTTAAATTAATAAACCATTGTAGTAATAATTTTTTCAGTTTTAATATGAATATTATTGAAGATAATGCGAGCTTGATTAAGAAGTCCCGAGTGAGAGCAAGCATTTAAAACACAAATATGTGTAATATCATTACATTGATCAATAGAAATTTGTTTATATAAGTTAACAGCTTCAAAACCCATTCCATTTAGTCCAAATGCATTAACTACAATAACAGCAATGTTTCATTGAAATATATGTTTAGTTATTTACTCATAGATGTGTGTGTTATTATATTAGGACTAGCAACCGATTGAAATACATCATATGCTTTATCAATTGAACCAGATTTGCCCTATGTTTAAAAGAAATAATAAATATTAATATTAATTAGCCGAATCAATATTTTGAATGTCTCGAATTTGAATAAGTTCGAAAGGATAAAATTTTGAATCTCAAATACTTTTGTAAATGTAGAGAATTCTACTGAATTCAATGACACGTAAGTTATTAGATTTCATTTATTGAAAATTAATAAATAATGAAGAGTTTTTATCAAATACTTGAATGCATTTTTGTTCTGTATACATATAGTAAATAATAAATAACTTACAATCGAAAGAAACTAGTAAATCAGTTGAATTTACACTTACGACAGTGCTTTCCAATAGAACTAATCTATATCATTAGTTCTTTATTCGTGAAAATAAATATATATCTAGATTGAGAATTGTTAAAAACTCAGAAGAACTAAAATATCAAAGAAAATAAAAAAAAAGAATCATCTGTTGTTATTTAAGTGTTAGAAAGACAAAAGTGTACAAAATTCGATTTTTTTTTCTAATATGTTATTATTTAAATTTCAGAATCGTGTCAAAGTTTCGAGACAAGAAATACTCATTCTATTCGTAATAGTAAACTAGCAGTAATTCAAAGTAAAGAAGTTGATCTCATGTTTTTTATTTTATTAGCCATATTAATATGGTTGTACGATAGTGTTGTTTTTATTTTATAATTTCGATAAAAAAAAAAACGTCAACCATGTTACGCATTTATTCGCATTATCAGTAATCATCGCCCATCGATTTTTCATTGATAAACCGCATATTATATCAAGTGTATGTTTATTTCTCATAAAATACATTCCAGTATAATCGTTTTTATTCGGATAGCCCATGTAAATACAAAATCTTTCAACTTATCGAGTTTTAATAGAATCATTCATAATGAAAGTTTGTATTATGAATCATTTGACAATGTTTGGCTAAAATGAAATTATAGCACTGAACAACATTATATAATGTCTTCTCTAAATCTTCTGAATATTCAATTAAGTCCTAAGATAGATATTAAAAATATACAGACATAGAAGATTTAAAAGAATCTAGATATGTTGTCTCCTATAGTTCTTTTCATGTTTTCAATATCTCGATGTCAATACATCAGAATTTTATTAGTTATTGTGGAAGTTAAATGAACAAAAGCGAGATACGATGTGAAAAGCTTTGTTTTCTATAATAGTATACATTTATCTGCAGTTCCACTCAACTATTGATACTATAATTATGTTACTCGAGACTTCAAACAATTGTTTTGCTTTAGTGTATAAAACTAAATAGTAGCTTCGTCGCTACTCGTTGCTAAACAAAGATTATTCTGGCTCATCATTAAACAGTGATCATAGCGCAACACCATAGGCTAGTCTGATTAGTCTATATTTATCGGTTATGATCACTAGACATTGGAGATTGAGTTTCGAAGTACCATTGAATCAATTCGAAATATGAACATTAGCATATAGAGATAGTAACTCAGATAATACTAGGCTGAGGTTTGAGACCTTGAAGAGTACGATGCATAGTCGACAATCAAATATGAGTATCATATGTCTCTATCTAAGATCCAACTTTTGCTTTTTTTATTGACAACCAACGTTTTTACCGATGAAATGTCGTTAGAACCAGACGTTAAAATCTTTTGTTTGAAAATATTAACATATCAGCAACACTCATAACCGAATTGCTATTTACTATTTAAAAAGGTTTTTTTAGAACAGAAATTTTACTAATCAAAAAAAAAAAAACAAAGGAAAATGTCCTTACTATCTGATACTTACAACTTATAGATGATTTAATAATGAATATATTATGACATATAACTATACTCAAATTTTGAAGTTAGCATAGGAAAGCACAAAATTAAGAGAATTTAGTTTCATCTGTATTGTAAATAATAGAAACCTTTTTTTGCATAAAAATTTAAATATTTTTTAAGTTACTATTTCAATTTTTATAAACTTTAAATAACTTCAGTTTTAAGTTCATATTGATTGATCGAGAAAGAACATCTTTTGTTTCAAAAATATTAATTGTACTTACCCACATATTGATTAATGCATTTTGTATACGTTGTTGATGTTGCATATGTAAAGGAATTTGATTAAATATAAATTTACATCTTGAAAGTAAACCAATTTGTGCACATGTACCAATAAGTATATTGAAAATGATTTCATCAGGAACTAAATTTTGTTTTAATTCTTCAAAAAGTTCAAAACATTTTAATAGTTGATTATTCATATTGTAACCATTCATCATAGCACCATAAGCAATGATATCTTTTTTTTGAATAGATCGAAAAAGATTTTCAGCATCATTTACATTACCAAAATTCATAAGCATATCTATTCCTGAAGTTAATATAATCTTGTTATTTTGCCATTTATTACAGATTTTTTGAAGAATTTGTTTTCCAATATTCATAGCACGATAATTCGACAATCCAGCACATGCATTTAAAACTATTATATAAATAATGTCATCTGGTTTGATATTCATTTCTTCATATAAATCAAATACTTTTTCATATTGTTCGTTTTCAACATATCCTAGTTTTAATATAAAAGAAAAATTAGAAAATTTATCTAAGAAATCGGTACCTTTCATCATAGCACCAAAAGTAAAATTATCTTTATTTTTAATTGAATAAAAAATATTTTCAGCACTTTTTATATCACCAAACTTCATCAACATGTGTATTGCTGTATTAAGTACGATATTGTTATTTTGATAATTGTTAGAAATTTGTTGAAGAAGTTTTTTTCCAATTGTTTTAGCTCGATCAGATGCAAGTTGAGCACATACATTAAGTAGAACAACAAGAGTAACATGATCAGGTTCAATAGTCATTGTATCGAATAAATCCAACGCTTTCTCTGGCATTCGATTAGTGATGAAACCTAATCATTCATTAACAAATATTTCATAAATAGATGATTAGACAAAAAAATATCAACCTTTAAACATAGCTGCATACATCGGATTTGATTTGTTGGTGATTTTGGAAAATAAACGATAAGCATCATCAATTTTATGATTTTGCACTAGTAAGTAAAATCAAATAAAATAATTAATTAAAAAAACTTATTAATCGCTTAAAATACATTATTAGTTATAAGAAAATTTCTTTTTAATAATTTAAAGAAATATGATGATTTTATTTTGTTAGTTTTACTCAGGAATAATCCATCATTAAGGGGACCCCCCCCCCCCTTTCCAGGGTTTCTCGAGTCCGGCTCAGTGAAAAGTTATGAAATTTTCAGGCCAGATAGATCTCGATGAGTAGAGTAAAACTTGTCATAGGCTCACAATTCCTGGATACTTCCTTCGGGAAGATATGGGGGTCGCAAAAGCTAAAAATGATTCGAAGTTTCCTCCCCCTCCCGCAAATCTCTGTACTTCATTTTTTTGAGCTGAAATTTTTTCTGTGACAACTAGGATCAAATTGGGATGCGTGTTTTTTTTTTCTTTTAAAAATATCGTTCTTAGAGCTCAGGAAAAGCAAAATACTTGAAGCACTCTCAAAAAACATTTTTTTTTCAATAGAACTAATTTTTAAAGGGCTGCCAAATTTCGTAGGAACAACATTTTTAAGAAAAAAAGAAACACGCACCCCAATTTGATTAAAGTACTCATAAAAAAAATTTTGAGCCCTGTCGGACATACCGTGTAGGAGAAAAGGGGGGGAAAACTTCATTTTTTTGCTGAAAAAACTGATTTTGAGAAAAAAGCAAAGAAATTTCTGTTTTTTGGTTTTTTCAGCATAATTTGTGATTTTTTCGAAGGAAACATGTCATGCATCTACAAGTATGATGTTTGACACCAATACTGGCTTACATATTTCGATATCATCAGCAACAAGCAAACTTATGCCAAACGAAACTGATCAAATATAAGAAGCAGAAAAATACTAGATAAATTCATTCATCTATTTGTGAAATTTGAGATGATCTCTGATTTCTATTTATATTTATTGAAGAAACTGAAAGTTTACTATTTCACATGTTGATATTCATTACCATTTTTACAGGCAAATGGAAGAAATAGGACACAACCATATGTATACTATATGATTAAAAATCAGAAGAAAACTTAATTCAACACTGATCCTTGTGCTCTTGTGATAAGCATTAATTCATTATTGTTTCATGAAGTGTTAGAAAAACGTTTATTTGACTTCGAAAACTAAAAGTATTAGTTTTGTACGATGTATGAAACTTGACTTATCCAAGACTTACGAATGAAATATTCTTTTTTTTGTTTTGTCAGCAGAATTAAGGATATAAAAGTATGCAAGTCTGAAACTGAAGAATGATTTGTTTTTTGTTTTAGTGAAAAATATATTATTGATAGAAGATTGATTTTATTCGTATCGCACTATGATGATAATCTTGTTTGATAAATGAATAACTTACTATAAAAATGAATTAATGATGTTTGAATATATGGATCATTTAATGATTTTGATGAAAGTTTTTGTTGAATATCAAATCCAGTTTTATAATCATGTAATTGAGTACATGCTTTTATTGCCATAACTATTGTTGAATTTGTTGCAATTGCAGATTGTTCATTAAAAAGATTTAAAGTTTGTTTATATTTTTTCGAATCCATAAGTTTCTTTATTTCCATATTTAATTTATTTGATGATTGTGAAATAGAATACGTTTTATTTTGTTTATTGTAAAAAATGAACAGACGTTGATACGAATATAACAAATAAAAATTTTTATTGAATAACATGTTTTATCTTTAATATAAAAAAAGATGAATATATGATTAATCTACAGACATATGTGTCATTCTAATGTCTATTACATCATTTTTTTTTAACAAAAAAAAAAAAAGGTTGAAATATAAAAAAATGATTGTAGTGAAAAATATCATCTGATAGAGAATACTCTGAAGTGTGAAAACAAACAAATGGCTTTACAAGATTAGCAATTTTTTTTGCTTCTATTCAATTTTGAAGACTAAAACCGAGTTGAACAAGTAATTGGCTTTTCTCAAATACTTTAATATTTTGTTACACATAATTATAATTGTCTATACTTTAAATCTATTTTAAGCTAAAGCGATACAGAATTGTAAGTATGCTACTTAGTTGATATTTGTGATTTAAAAAGGAGTTCTTCATTCTTTGTAGTCTAGGCAGCAAATAGTTAAAAGAGGATAGAACGTACAAGAAGAAAACTTTTAAAAGTATTTTTCAGGTTATATTCTTGAGTTGTACTATCGAATTGATACTTTTAGTCAAAACTAGAGATTTACAATCTATAATTTGTTCAGGAGATAAGCAAACGAGAATGAAAAAAAAAAAATCTTGGTTACATTTTTCAATCACGAAATACTCTAATGACTCACACATTTTAGCAAAATGATGAATATTCTTATGGGAAAAGATTTAATCTAATATGTGTTGATTGATTTTATACTGGACTCAACTAAAAAACAGAGGAAAAATATTTCTTGAATGTTTTCTGAAGCCACTAATAGATATTTAATTTTCTGTGAAACAAAAATGATTGATAAAACATAATTTATCAAGTTACGACAACAATAGAACAAAAAAACGAAGTGATTTATTTTCAGTATCATTTGTAAAACATAATAGATAGACATTTGATTTGATTAGACCGTAATTAAAAAGCTCAATAAGACCATTTTTAATGATTTTACGATACGATGTACAGAAAATTATTCATAAATATTAATCATCTGAAATCTATGATTGAACACATAATTTAAATATATCTATAAAGGGAAATTTGAAGAAAACTATTTCATTAGTTAGTTTTTATTTTCAATTGTCTTTATTTTAAGCTATATGTATACATATAATAAATTGATATGATAAAAGAAAGGAAATTCTTTAAAATTGTAACAAAATTAATTCTTAAAATTCAATCGATTCATAAAAATTCAAGATTAGTATCATTAAATAGCAAATAATAATTATTGTTGTGATATGATTACTTGCGACAGTATTTCATAAGTTTTTATAGATGTAAATTGTTAATACATAAATTGTTTCATAATGATAATGAAACCTCTCTTCTTTTATGATTTTAAGTTTAAAATATTAATGCCAAAATTATTTATTAATTCTTTATTAAAATAAATAGAATGTTGATTTGATGAAATTTATCGTTGAAATATGTTATTATTAGATAACAATCATCTAGATATGGACATTTTACGATATCTAATGAAACTTCACATAGATTTTGAACAATTATTTTTCTAAAATAATTAAATCAATAATACAAAAATTCAAAAAACAAATGAAACTTAATATTAATTTAATAATACATAGATTTTGAAGTATTATCAAAATTTGTTGAATACATCATTGGTATATGATAGATATGTATTATTTATTTGTCTATATTCAGGATTTCCATCAAGATTAGTGAAATTTGATTCATTACTGACAGTTATTTCTTTTTAATAAACAGTACTATTCTATTGCATATCATGAAAATATATTCATCTGAAGTTTACGTATATATATATATATATAAAGTTCTACAAATATATTTTAAAATATAAGGAACCATTTGAATACTTCATCAACAAAATAAGCTCATTAGTTGACTCTCGTCACGCCATATTAAAAATTACAATTTATCAGTTTATTTATGAAGAATAACGTCTCATTGAAATAAGAATGGAAAAGGACCTTCTGATATTCGTTATTGTTGTTGTATTATAAGTATCTTTCTATCTTCTATGCAAGTCTCATTATATCAAAAATGATAAAAATTTAACATAAAGAATTTTTTTTCACTCATATTTAATTAGAGTTTTATTATAGTGAAACTGGAAAATTAATCGAAATTTCAAAGTATTAATTTTTAATTTTTGTCGCAAATAATGACAACTTTAATTCGTTTCAATCCTCTGTTTTTTAAGTATGTCATAGAACAAAAAAAAAACAGATACCATATTTATATTGTCTTATTCTCTTTACATCTTTTGTCAAGTTGTTTTCTTACTCCAGAATATATATGAAAACGATATAAATTTAAAATAGATTAAAAAAAAGCAAATATTTTCCATCATGAAGATTGAAATAAGCTACACTCACTTTTCGCCATTGCATTATAGCGAAACATACATACAGCCTTTATAAATTAGAGAGAGGGCGCTAAACAGCAATAAGCGTACGTATATAGGCTGAATCCATGGGAAACGTACCACTTTATACATGACTTTCTCAGA